ATTATAATAAAAAAATTAAAAAAATTACATAAGAAATAAGAAATTTTAAATAGTTGATTTGATATTAACATTCATATATTTTTTTTCTTCAAATTTTTATTTTATTTAAAAAATAAAATCATTATTGTTTTCTTAAAAACACATAAAATCGTATTATAACATCGACGAAGACAAATAATAAAATAGAACATTAAAATCGAGATGTATTTCGCTGCATTATGCGAGTACCTTCTAGTTAAATTTAATATGTAGTTTGGTAATATAAAAAAAGTTGTTTCTTAATAAATAATTATTAAAAAATTATGTTTTGAAGGTTGTTATTAATATATATATATATATATATATATATATATTTCTTAAAAATAATTATTAGAAAAAAATGAAGCTTTTTAAGGAAAAATATTAAAAGGAAAAGAAAACATAAACATGTATTTTTATGGAAATTATGATAAAAATAATATTTTTAGTATTAATTTTTTAAAGAATAAAACAAAATATTTCTAATAGTAACATATTTATAATTTAAATATGACTAAAAGAAAAGTAGCATAAAAAAGGAAAAAAACAGTAAAAAGATAAAAAAAAAAAAAAAGACTAAGGGGGKGTTTGGGATTGCTTATTAAAACAACTTATGCTTTTTTGTAAAAGTGCTTATTAACTTATGTGGTATCAAACTGGAGTTTTGTAAAAAGTGTTTGGATTAGCTTATAACGGTACCAAAAAGCAATAAGTTGATAAGTTGTTTTTTAGTGTTTGGTAAATTTTGCTTATACATGTAAAATGACCAAAAAGGACGTTATCTTGTTTCATTTCCAAATGTCAAAACACACACAACAGTAACCAACAAAAACCCTAAATCGAGTTCCATCGTGAATCAGTAACCTCAAACCCTAAATTGTTCTTCCAAATCGAGTTCCATGGTTGAAGAAATCGAGTTCCATGGTTGAAGAAATCGAGTTCCATGGTTGAATAAATCGAGTTCCATGGTTGTAAATCGAGTTCCATGGTTGAAGAAATCGAGTTCCATGGTTGTAAATCGAGTTCCATGGTTGCAAATCGAGTTCCATGGTTGTAGAAATCGTACCTGGAGAAGAACTCGATTCTGGAGAAGAACTCGATTTTTGGAGAAGACGTGATCTGGAGATCTGATCGATTTTTGGAGAAGACAGTGATCGATTAGGGGGTGTTTAGACAGGGTTAAAATGGTAAATCGGTAATAAGTCAATTTTCATAAGTCACTATGGATTAACTTATCAAAAACGACTTATTACCGGTTTGGTACCGGTATAAGCAGTTTTTTTTTTTTACCCAAACACTCCAAAATGGCTTATCTCCGGTGCCAGACTGAAATAAGTCAATAAGTCGTTTTGATAAGCAATCCCAAACACCCCCTAAAAAGATAAAACAAAAAAAACGTCATTTAAAAATTGAATTTTCATTTTCATTTTCCATTTAATAATATATTTTATTTATTGAGTTGAGTGATTGTGATGATAAAACCAAATCAAACGCAACAACTTTCCCTTTTTATTAATCATCTCTACAAACACCGATGAAATCCACATTGCTGGCTACGATCACATGTTTGTTGCTATTATCCAATTATTCTATCCCAAATTCACCATAAATATCCCATCACCATCTCAATCCCCATCACCATCACCTTCACCGAACTCCTTCTCAATCGGGTCATGAAACCAGAGATGAACAGAGAGTCGGTGGCACTCGCACTTCTCCCCAAGTCAAACCAAATCTCCGCTACTTCTTCCATATCCGCCGCCGTATTCAATGTCTCCACCTGCATGATTGGTGCCGGAATCATGTCGGTTCCGGCGACTCTCAAGGTTCTCGGCATAGTTCCAGGCTTCCTTGTCATCCTGATTATGGCTTTCTTGATGGAGGTAACGGTGGAGTTCTTGTTGAGGTACACCAATTACTCCGGTGACGCCAATACCTACGGTGGCGTCATGGCGGAATCGTTCGGAAAGTTTGGTTCCTTTGCACTTCAGATCTGTGTTATGATCTCAAACCTTGGAGCCCTCATTATCTACTTGATTATCATCGGTAACTGCCAAAATTACCCCTCCTATTTTACTTTTAGTTTCTTATCCATTTTCTCATTCTCCCATTAATTCGAAAGTTTCTCATCAAGGGTAAAAGTGTCATTTCCTTATTTACATGAAGTATCATATGATAATGATATTATAAGTCAGCTTATTTTTTGAGCTTATTGAGAAAATATCGTTTGAATGATGATAAGCTATCTTATTGAAATGTATGGATTATAGATTAGAGAAGCTTTATATTAATAACTTGATCGCTCGTCGTCGATGCAGGAGATGTTTTAACGGGAAACGAATCCGAAGGAGTACTACATTTGGGCATTTTGCAACAATGCTTTGGATTTCACTGGTGGAATTCGCGAGCGTATTCGCTCTTATTTGTTGTCATCTTCGTTATGCTTCCTCTTCTTTTGCTCCCTCGAGTAGGTTGGTACAGATTTTCCGGTGAACGTTTGAATTTTGAGGCAAAACGGCCGACTAATGATTAATTGTTATCGTTTGACAGAGTCGTTAGGTCATGCTTCAGCAGTATCGATTCTCCTAGCGGTTGTTTTTGTTGTTATTAGCTCTGGGATGGCCATTTACGCTTTGATCGAAGGCCAAACTCAACAACTTAGTCTTGTTCCGGATTTTAGCGATGGATTACTGTCCGTCTTCAATCTTTTCACAACCATCCCGGTCTTGGCCACGGCCTTTGCCTGTCATGTTACTAGTAAGAATTCACTTTTTGAGCCTTCCTTTTTAACTGATCTTCAAACGAGAACGGAGTCAAAATAAGAAAACACGAGAACGGCCAAATTACATGTGTTTTTACATGCGATTACGAAACACGGTCAACACAAGGGTGTGCAGACGACTTGCATGCAGAATCACATGTGATTTTGAACATGCTTCTAGCGTAAAATTAGATGTGATTTGATCGTTCTCATGTTTGAATGTTTTCTTATTTGATCATAATTCTCATTTAAACTTAACCATAAATATTTTGATTAATATTTATCACAAAAATTATTTTTGGTCGTATAGTTCATCCGGTACGAGCAGAACTCGAAAAACAATCAGACATGAGCACGGCGGTCCGGATTTCTTTAGTGCTAAGTGTCGTAATCTACCTTGCGGTTGGGTTCGTGGGCTACCTTCTTTTTGGTGATTCAATCATGGCCGATATGCTGGTGAACTTCGACCAAACCTCTAATTTGCCTGGAGGCTTAATGATCAATGCGATTGTTAGATTAAGCTACGCGATACATCTTATGCTCGTTTTTCCCGTGATTTTCTACACATTACGGGCTAACATGGATGAAATGATTTTCCCACGAAAATCCCTTCTAGCCAACGACACTACAAGATTCATGTCGCTCACATGTGTTTTACTTGCATTCATTTATGTTGTGGCGATTGCTCTCCCGAACATCTGGTACTTCTTTCAGTTCATGGGATCGACAACTGTTGCTTGCATTGCATTCGTTTTCCCGGGTGCTATTGTTTTAAGGTACAAATCTTATACAGGGATAACACTAACATATATTGTTGGAGTTCCATATCAGCTAGACACAAATCATCAAACTTGTATATATATATATATATATATATATATATATATATATACACGCCTCTCTTTATAAGTGTTCTTTGAGTGCGTTTTTGGTACACGGACGTGATAGGACAGGACTTGACAAACAAGGGTGAAGTAGGCGGGTGAAATTAATAATTATAGAAGGTTTTAGGTTTCAGCTTGACATTGGTATTTAGTAATTTATCTATTTTGTCTCATATTCCTGATTTTTGTTCTACTGGTTTAGGTGAGACAAAAAAAAAACTTTTTTGTCCCACTTAGGTCCTGTCATGTCCCAGTGATGTTGCGCCAAACGCGTGATAACAAGTTTTTGTACCAAACGCATGGAGATACTTTACAATGTTTTTGAGCTATGGTTATAATCAATCCTATATCTAACAAGGCGTATGTTTTTGATAGGGACGTTCACGGCATTTCTACGAGAAAGGATCGAGTAATGGCGATAATGGTGGTAATCTTAGCCGTTGTAACTAGCGTTATTGCCATTTCCACCAATTTGTATAGTTTGTTCGGAAATTCTGCTTCAGAAAACTAGAATTTTTTTTTTGAAATATTTGGTACGAGGAACAAAAACAAATACTATAAACTATTCGTCTCTGCATAAAACTTAGACGTTTTAAGATTTACAGTTTGAATAGATTCTGTTTTTTCTAGAATTAATGTCGTATTTAATATACAGTTATTATTTTATAACGAGAACAATATTTTAGTCTACCATATTCAAATGGAATGAAGTATTCATATCCTTTTCGTTTCATATGTGAAACCGAATGGTATAAATTTCTCTTGTGCCTTCTCATTCACCTTTCACAAATATTTATACAAAATACAAAGAGATAACTATGGAAATTATTGAGAATCTATCATATAATTACAAGCTATATTCTATGGAAATGATATATACAAATTATGGAGAATATGGAAGAGAAACATGAAGTACGCGCACATGGCCCATCACGACCTTTTCTCGCACAAAATCTATGTGTTTGGTACGCTGGTGTTGAACTGGATTGTCAGAGAGCTATACGGCATACACATTGTCACAATAAACAATTGTGGCTTTTTGTGGGGGACAATAGAGTTCAAGTAGGAGATTGCGTAACCAACATGTTTTCGCGACGACATTCGCGACACTGTATTCTGCCTCTGCACTGGAACGAGAGATAGTGGGTTGCTGATTGACGGACCTAGAAATGAGGTTGTCACCCAAAAAAACATGGTATCTTGATGTAGACCGTCTTGTATCGGGGCAGCGCAATCCGCATCTGTATGTGAAGTGAGACGATTGAGCAAAGACGAGTATAATTGTAAACCATATTCGAGTGTGCATTTCAAGTACCGAATAATACGTTTGAGTGCACTAAAATGGGGTTCCCTTGGTGCATGCATAAAGAGGCAGATTTGTTGTACCATATAAGCTATATCGAGCCATGTGAAAGTGAGATACTGTAATGCGCCGGCCAGGTTGAGATACAGTGTAGGATCCGCGACTAGGGGTCATTCATCATTACTTAGTTTCGACTTAGAGTCGACTCGGGTAGCGACAGATTTGCAATTCACCATTTCACCCTGGAAGGTATGGGGTGAGATGGTTTGAGAAGATTGATTAAAGTGTGTTTTGGGTTGAAGATACCATGGCGTGAACATGTTTACATGGGGTGAGTAAAGGTGGGCATAATCCTTTCAGCTTTCCTGTTTTCAGGAGAGGTGTATGGGCAAGTGAAACTGAACACGATACCATTTGAGGCACAATATTTATGAAAAGAGGTGGTGTTAAATTCACGACTGTTATCACATTCAAGCATTTTTACCACGGTTAGCGCTTACCGGGTAAATTGTTGCATACGATGCCGTTTTTGTTGATAAAATCTTACCCGGTAAGTAAGTGATAGTGTTGCATTCTACTGATAAGCGCTTACCGGGTAAGTGTTTGGTAAACGGCCCCTAAGTAATATTTGTGGCCTCAAGTGCTAGTACCGGGAGATGTCCATAAATCATCATGCATGAGATCAAAGGGAGCGAAAGTAAATGTTTAAGATAAATTAAACAGAAGATGAACATGTTTGCCTCACGGACAAGAAAAACATGAAGGGTTCGGTGACCCTTTATTACATGAAATTAAACTATTAGATCTAAGAAAATAGAAAACTGGAGATCCCGGATGTCCAAGTTGATTGTGCCATGTAGAAGCGGACATGGTTGCAAAGGATAGTGGAGGCATGATGGTGGCGGAAGAAGGAGAGAACGAGTAGAGAGATCTGGTGCTATTGCATCTCGTAAGAGTTGTCCCCGTATTGGGATCCTTTACAGAAAATCTAAAAGGATCAAATTTAGGTGGTATTTGAGATTGCTTATAAAAACAACTTATTAACTTATTCCGGCGTGAAATTGGTAAAAAACACTTTTGAGCGTTTGGATAAACAACTTATATCGGTGCCAAACCGGCAATGAGAAGTTTTTGAAGAAGTTAAACTCTTCTGACTTATAATAAGTTGATAAGTGCTTTTGTAGAATAGCATAAGTTGTTTCAAATAAGCAATCCCAAACACCTCCTTAACAGAGACACGATTGACAGAAGTAAATTTGCGAATAAAGATAAGATTTTATTATTATTATATGAGGAATGTAGAGTACGTTTTTAAGAGAGAAAGGTGGGTGTGGAGTTGGTGTCGCCATATCCACGAATTGGAATGTGAGAATCATTACCGACAAGAACAAATCGAGAAGTGCTCGAATTAAAAAGTTAAGAGATAGTACCTAAATTACTAGTGTGATGAGAGGTGGCGTCTATATCCATCTTCCATGTATCATCTGGTTAATGAAGATTCATGGTGTTAAAGTAAGCATAGAATCTAGGGGAAATAAGGTAACTCGGTAATAAATGAAAGTAATTTAGAACGAATAAATAAACTGTAATATATAATACGTTTGGAAAATATGAACCAGATAAGAGAACGGACGATTCTTCGTAGATGGGTGATTAAAGAACAAAAGTCGGAACAAAAACCCATTGTTTACATATATTTTATTAAAATTTTCAGTTTTAGTCCTTTCAGTTTCAAAATATTTTATAACACACTTTGATTTTTAAGAATTCCATAATAAAACCATTTAAAAGATATAAAAATAAATAAATGTTACGTTTACCTTATTACAACAACCATCTCGGCAACTTTAGTTTGTTGGTATAATTTTGGTTTCCAAAATCTGAAAGCATACTATAATTAGTGGGTGTTTTTTTCGCTTGCGATAATCGAGTGAGCAAGTGCACAGGACCCTGCTCAAGTCTGAGTAGATCCTCCCTTGTACAAATACAACTGATTCTCCACCTCATAAAGTTTCACTTTATCATGTCTGAATTCTCAATCTTCTTTTTTCTTAAGCTTTTGTGTTACTTATTTGAAAGCTTAAAATCGGTCCACTCATAAAACTTGCAATGACTTACGTGATACAAACAAATTAAAAGTTTATTTGAAAAGTACACGAGAGCCAAAATGTAACAAAAACCATTCCAAGGAGAACACCACTTGCTAATTAAGGCAACCCTACGGTTTTTTTCACGTGTGGTTGCTAATCCCAAATGTTCTGTATTCCTACAGTCATTCCATAAATGGCAATGAAACAGACCATGATCATTGCTTCTTTCTTTCTATCATTACTTGCAAAGTTCGCTTTAGTAGATAAAAACACCACAATTTTGCTCGGTCGTTTTCGTTCTCAGAGAGTAACACAGTTGGTTATGGGATGGTATATTTGCATAAAAAGACGAGAGTCTGAATCTGATGGTTACAATCTAAGAGTACAATTTTTTTGGGGATCGAATTTTTTGTAGGCAATGCATAGCCTCTTAAATTAACTACCTCGTAGACAGTTATGTATCTAATTTATCTAACATAATATTTTTCGGTTTTTTTTTTTAATTTGGATTAGGCTCCTTATAGGTAGTAAGGAGTTGTTTGACAGTTGTTGAATGATTTGGTGTAGAATGATTAAGTGGTCAGAGTGATTAAGAGGCTCTCATGATATAATGCAAAATGAAATGTAATTGTTTAGAATGAAATTAGGACACTGAATGATCAAGGGAGACTCATGATACAAAATATTTAGGAAGTTTTAGAACCATTAAGAGACAGTCTTTTTTTTTTGTCAAACAAAATTCACCTCTTAACGATTCAAAGACCGACTCTTAATAGGACTATTAAGAGATAAACAAACAACCTCTAAGCTTTTAAGTCGATTATCCAACGAGTCGTTGTGTATTCAAGTTTCCTCTTACTATGCTCTTGAACGAAACATTGTGGATAATTTGATTTAGGGGCCGTTTACTAGAACTTATTCGATAAGTACTTATCGGGTAATTTTTCTTACCGGATGAACATGGTAAGAGCCGAAAATCTTACCCAATAAGAACGATGATAAGAATGGAGAATCTTACCCGGGTAAACGCTTACCAGGTAAATTATTGTATAGGATACATTTTGATGTACTACAATCTTGTCCAATAAAATAAATTATAGTATTGACTTTAACGTTAAATACTTATCGGGTAAGCATTTAAGTAAATGACCCTTAATAACACTTAACTAGATAAATGTTTGATAAATGACAACCTTAATGAATTTAACAATGAGACTGAAAATCTAAATTACTATTTTATGTATTTTTAATTGTTAAATTATTTAGTGGTGAGGAGCTGTCGGCTTTCACATCATCTGACTGCATATGCGTCCACATACATTTAATTGTACACCACTCGCCACGTCCAAGTCACCCACAACCTAATTATACCAGCTTCTCTCTCTCTTTTCCCATTTTACCCTCCACCATTATCTCTTATTCTTATAACTTCATGAAACTTATCATATCCTTTTTCGTAATTTCAGTCTACCTCAATCATAAACCCAAGGCCGTATATAAAAAGGAGCCAAATTCACACGTTTAACAGCTGCGAGATTTGAAGATGTCGCCGGAGAACTCGGATGAGGTAGTCCCACTTCTGCCGGAGAATGGTTCGCCGACGGCATCCCCAGAGGAGAAGCAACCGTCGGTGTCCGGAGCAGTGTTCAATGTCTCAACGAGCATAATAGGTGCAGGAATCATGTCCATTCCGGCGACTTTCAAAGTTCTAGGCGTAGTTCCGGCGTTTATATTGATCGTACTCATTGGATGGTTGGTGGATGTGTCTGTGGAGTTCATGTTGAGGTTTACGTATGCTGGAGGATCCACGACGTACGCAGGACTGATGAAGGAGTCGTTTGGACGGATAGGATCTGTTACTGTTCAGATTTGTGTGATGATTCAAAATCTCGGTTGTTTGATCATTTATCTCATTATCATCGGTAAGCAATATTAGCAAGTATTTGATTATCTATGAAACTTCTAACATATTACTTTGGTTAATTTAGCTAAAATGGAAACTGTTGATCTAATAAAAATTAGTTGACCAGCCATTGTTGTTACGTGTAATGTTCTTAATCTTACTTTTTTTTGTGAATCAGAACAACTACTACTCCTAACTTGTAATTAAAACACTTTTAGCTTCATAATTTTAGTAGTTAATCGCGATTTTTATGGAACACAAACAAATGGAAACTGGTTCCATTAATCCATTATGGTGGTTAAATTATCTTTTCAATTTCAAAATACTATGACTAAACTCATCATAAACCGTTTAAGAAACTTCTTGTTCAATTAATATTAGATCAAATTTGTTGTAAAATTTGAGTATTAATGGATGCAAGGACACTTCTCATCACGCTGATGCGATGAACAAAGATGTTACAGTTTATATCAGATGAAAACTATTGTAATCTTCAAGGGCATTTATGAATGCAAGGATGCTTTTACCGCCCAATTGTAATCTAGTGGCTACAGAGGAAAGTTATTGCAGCTATTAAGATAATTAAAGATTAATGGATGCAATTAAGGATTGTTTGCATGTTGAATTATCAGGAGATGTGCTCTCAGGGGATCAATCTGGAGAAGGATCAGTTCATTTGGGGGTATTGCAAGAATGGTTTGGTATTCATTGGTGGAATACACGCGATGTAGCTATCCTCATCGTCGTCGTCTTTGTTATGCTTCCCTTGGTTTTATTCCGCCGTGTTGGTCAGTAGCATCTCATTTCCAAGTAGCTAATAGAAAATCTGTTGTCCCTAAATCCCCATATTCTCTGTCTCACCAGTTTCTTGAATTAAATAAATTTGTATCAGATAAAAGAACAACGACCATTCAAGTGATTTTTGGGATAGAGAGGGGATATGGGATTTCAGAGGCAACAGATTTTTTTCCATGATAATACACTCTTAATCTATTTACTTTATTTTCAACTAATTGGTTAGAAGACTATGAAAGCATTGCTGAACTTGGTTTATATCAACAGAATCACTATCGATGAGCTCAGCAGTAGCCGTTCTGCTGGCAGTGGTGTTTGTCGGAATATGTTCAGCCATGGCGATCTCTGCAGCCATTAAAGGACAATCAAAAAGTATCAAACTGTTGCCTCAGTTGAACAATCAAGTGGCGTTCTACAATCTCTTTACCGCCATCCCTGTTATCGTCACAGCTTTCACTTTCCACTTCAATGGTAAGAATTAATGAACAACTTCAACTTGATAACAAATATATCATCATCCCAACAACATGAAACTAAGAGAGGTATGTGTAGAGGAATTAAATGCCTAGGACAATAAGTTACTTTTAGTCCTCACTCCCTCAGAGAATGAATACTTATGTTTGGCAAAAACTAGCCTATAAGATAGATGAGAAGGCAAAATGACTTAAAGTTGTTTTTCAAAAAGCTAATGTATGACTAATGAGGTGGGGCTTTTTCAATAAGCTCAAAAAACAATCTACCTTATGGTCGGCAAACATGGCCTTACACATTACTTTTGTGGCAGTACATGCTATTGGAGTTGAGCTTGGGAAACCTGCTGCAATGGCTTCTGCAGTCCATATCTCTCTTGTGGTTTGTGCTCTGATTTACTTCTGTATCGGGCTATTCGGGTACATCCTGTTTGGGGATTCGATTGAGGCGGACATTCTAGTAAACTTTGATCATGCAAGTGGTTCGATGGTTGGATCGGTGTTAAATGACATAGTTCGCTTAAGCTATGCATTTCACTTGATGCTGGTCTTCCCTTTGTTGAACTTCTCATTGAGATCCAACATTGATGAGTTCCTTTTCCCAGATAAGTCTCTTCTTGCAAAAGACAGCAAGAGATTTGTGTCACTCACATTTGTTCTGCTAGCTGCAGCTTACCTTATGGCAATTGCCATTCCAAACATATGGTATTTCTTTCAGTTCATGGGATCAACGTCAGCTGTCAGCCTTGCCTTCATCTTCCCTGGTGCAATTGCTTTGAGGTAAGCACCGCCATTTATATACATGTTAAGAAATTAATGAGCTAATTGTGTGAGTTTATTATGACAGAGATGTTCATGGTATATCTTCAAGAAAGGACAAGATAATTGGAGCAACGATGATAATTCTGGCAGTAATTACAAGCACAATTGCAATTTCCTCCAATCTCTACAGCTTAGGAAACAATTCATGATCATTTTTAATTGTTGTAGTAATTGATTAATTTGTTGTTGATGTTTTAATTTTTCTTTCTCAATTTCCGGCTTCGCCATAGAAATCCATAATATACGATTATGATGTCGAGTCATGTATAATTATAGAAAGTTAAATCGGTAATTGTTGTAATTCTGTAAAAATTTATTCTTTCTTTCTTACTTGTTTATTGTCTTTTATTGGGTAAGATGTGGTTGACTCGTTAGAGATGTTGTTGTTCACCAAACCCCTCTTGCTAGTTCATGATGTCAACCAAAATGCTAAGGGTGAGACTCTCACTTGGTCAATATTAGTGCTGACTCACACTGTACTCTTACCCGATTAATTGTATTGGTAAAAACCCTTAATTAGATGATGTATGTTTTTTTTGAATAAACCCATTAGTTATTGAATCCATTGAACTTATATAACATATTTCTTAAAAATTTAAAGTGTATCAAACACGTCGAGTCCATGTGTATTACTTGAAATCACAGTATAATTCGAAAGTTAAAAGTAGATTGAGTAATTATCAAACCCATTAAAAAAACACACACACATATATCTATACTATATTATAAAGCATTTGGCTAAAACTCTTAAAAACTCTTAAAATTCTTAAAAACTCTTAAAAACGCTCATCCCTAAACGATTTCATCCCTATCCGATTTCATCCCAT